TGAAATCAAAATTTTCTGAAACAAATTTGGTCCAAAGAAACATGGGGTCTACAACCATTTTAACCGTGTCAAAGTGTATACACCCTCATTAGCCATAAAGCTGAGGGTTTAATTATCCATTACAAATTTCTGAAATTTGTTTTATATTTTACATTATGGTTTACATAATCGGTTTGTAAAAATCTCGATATAGGTCCACTTTTTGGTATTTTTCCTATATTTTCATTTCAAGTACCTGTCAGTTTATTTATGGTGGAGGGTATCCAAAGTTCGGCCCGGCCGAACTTAACGCTTTTTCACTTGTTTAAAGATAATTTTGTAATATGTATGGCTGTATTATGGACACCTTATAGATACACTGTTGCTCATTTTATCAACTCTGTCCATCAAACCCAAAGTACAGGATCTCTTATTTCTATTGAGGCTTATGATCAAGAATTTTAACATATGTCCCATATATTTTTCCTCGACTCACGGAAGAAGTTTTGAGAGAATACCTTCCCTGTTTATCGTCTCGTCCTCCCAGCACCATATCCTCACACCTTTTGCATCCAGCTTCCGATTTGTAGGCCCTCGGAATGTTGGTTCACCGCCTGCATTGTCTTAAATCCCGTAGGCTTTTCCTGACTCAGCTTTATTATCATTGGCTGACAATTTTCCTCTCTCTAAGTACAATTCTCAACCGTGATAACTATTTTAAGCCTATCTGACAAATTTTTCAACATTCGAAGAACCAATGTAAAACTGGTCAAGTTCCGCTCCTTTCGTTCATCTAGTTGTTTCAATCTTTAATTTTTATACTCTTCACCACACTGTGATACAGGGTATTATGCCCGTGTGCATATGTTTGTAACAGGCAAAAAGAATCGAGATAGACCTATGATTCCTATTGTATAGAATCACTTTCTGAGTCGATTTATGCATGTCCGTGTGTGCGTTCATGTATTTTTGTGAACAATGTACATGCCGCATTTATGATCCGATTTGGATGAAATTTGGCACATGTCGGCACAATTCGGAGAAAATCGGTTCAGATTTGGATATAGCTCCCATATATAGTTTTGTCCGATTTTATGTAAATGCTGCACCAAACTCCCAATATTGGTCCAATTGAAAGAAAGTTTTGCACAGATCCAGATCCAAATTGGTGTATGCGAAGTTTTGTTGATTTACATATATATCCCATATATAGTTTCGTCCGATTTTATATAAATGCGGTATAAAACTCCCAATATTGGTTCGATTAAGACAAAATTTTGCACAGAGTATTGAATTCGGTCTAAATTGATATATGCCAAGCTCCCATGTATAGTTTCGTTCGATTTTATTTGAATGAAGCACCAAACTGCTAATATTAGTCCGATTGAGACACCATTTTGCAAATAGTACTGACTTAGGTACAGATTGATGTATGCGAAATTTTGTTAGAATCGGTTCAAACTTAGTTCCTTTTGATACAATCGTTCACAGATTCACGCATCATTGTCCCTGAGGACAATTCTCAACCGTGGATACTAATTTAAGTCTATCTAACGGAAATTCATGGACCTTAAGGGGACCCCCCATTCTCGTTGTCCAAAAATTTTATTTAGTTTTTCGAATCTACACTAATCCAAGAATGTCACTACAAATTTTCAAGTGAAAATCTCAAGAACTCTTGAAGATGTAGTCGATTTATTGTGTCAGCATCAAGTGACGGCAAGAGTGACTCTCAAACTTTTAACGGATTTTTCTCGAATCAATATGGCAGGCACGATAACTCAAAAACTATTAACCCAATCGATTTCAAATTTTGGGACGTTTCTCTGTGAGTTTATAGCTATCGTATGAACTAGGATAAAGCCAATCGGTGAAGATCTTCCTTATTTTTTTACTTAATTTGTAGTCAAAAATAGGCGATTTTCCAAGCTATATCTAAATCTGAACCGATTTCAACAAAACTTCGCATTCATCAATGACCTAATTTAGTACGCTGTTCAAAATTTTGTCTCAATCTGATAAATATTGACAGTATGCTGCTTCTTTTACATAAAATCGGACGAAACTATATATGGCAGCTATATCTAAATCTGAACCGATTCCAACAAAATTTCGCATTCATCAGTCGGAACCTAATCTAGTACGCTGTGCAAAATTTTGCTTCAATCGTACCAATATTGGAAGATTGGTGCACTATTTACATTAAATCGGATGATACTATATATGGGAGCTATATCTTAATATGACCCGATTTCAACAAAAAAAAACGCATTCATAAATCATGACCTAATTTAGTACGCTGTGCAAAATTTTGTCTCAGTCGGATAAATATTGGCAGTATGTTGCTACATTTACATAAAATCGGACGAAACTATATATGGCATATTTAGATATAAATCTGAACCGATTCCAACAAAATTTCTCATACATCAGTCGGGACCCAATTCAGTACTCTGTGCAAAATGTTGCTTTAGTCGGACCACTATTGGGAGTTTGGTGCACTATTTACATTAAAATTTTGTGTCAATCGGAGCACAATTGGGAGTTTGATGCATCAATAAGCTAAAATGGGACGAAAATATATATGGGAGCTGTATCTAAATCTGAACCGATTTTCTCCAATAGAGTTCGTCCTTGGGCCAATTAAGTGACCTGTGCCAAATTTCATCCAAATCGGATCATAAATGCGACCTGTACATTGTTAACAAAAATACATGGACGGACAGGTATAAATCGACTCAGATAGTGATTCTATGCATATTCTCAAAAGCAACCATGGGTCTATCTCGATTATTTTTGCCTGTTACAAACATATGCACAACGACACAATACCCTGTACCACAGTGCGGTGAAGGGTATAAAAAGGGGGTTATAAGGGGACTACTCCTAAAAGGGGGGCGAATATTAATAATTTTTGGGAGGGAGGTTTGTTACCATATACGACTACAAAAAACCAAATTACAAAGAATTTGGTTGAAAACGCGTTCAAGAACCCCAAAATACCGAAAATTAGGGGCTACGTGAAAAAATGCGCCTATATTTATTATTTATAGTAGGAGATTTGCTACCTAATAAGAACTCGACGTACTAAATTACAGTAAATTCGGTTGAAAAATACGATCAGAACCCCCAAAATAACAAAAATTTGGGAGTACCGTTATATGGGGACTACCAGAAAAACTGGACCTATATTTTTAATTTTTAGTGGAGTAATTTGGTACACAATCAGAACCCAATTTAAAAAATTTCAGAGAATTCAGTTATAAAACGAGCCCAAATACCCAAAATACCGCAAAATTGGAGGTACCCTTATATGGGAGCTATCCGAAAATATGGACCCATATTTATAATTTTTAGTGGAGTGAGTTTTTATTGGGTAGCAAATAAAAACTCAAAGTACCAAAGTTCAGCGAATTCAGTTAGAAAACGCGCTAAAGAACCTCAAAATACCGAAAATTGGGGGGTACCCTTATATGGGAGCTATGCCTAAACGTGGACCGATTTTCTCCAATTTCAATAGGGTTCGTCCTTGGGCCAATTAAGTGACCTGTGCCAAATTTCATCCAGATCGGATCATAAATTCGACCTGTACTTTGTTAACAAAAATATATGGACGGACGGACAGACGGACGGACATGCATAAATCGACTCAGAAAGTGATTCTATGCATATTCTCAAAGGGAACCATGGGTCTATCTCGATTATGTTTGCCTGTTACAAACATATGCACAAAGACATAAAAATCAAAGTTCCGCCATTTTGTTAATTGTTGTGCGAAGTCAATAATCCTAGTTCATACGATAGCCAGACATGTACTCGATCCGCGATCAAAAACAAGGACTTTTCTTTGATCACTAAAAAACAACAACAAACATTTTTTGTAAATTATTTTTCTTCCTTTTTAAATCTTCAAATATATATGTGCAAAGTAACAAACCTTAACCAGCATTGGTATTCATTTACCAGCCCATTTAAAATCTTAAAAATAAAAAAATCGTGAATGGGGGGGTGTTCCCTTAAAGTAAATTCTTCAACATTTATGCGTAGATTTTTTCTCCACTATTTTTCAGTAACCCAACTAGAACTATCAACCTAGAACTGGTCAAAAGTCATTGAGTTTGGTCGATACGAATCGAACTAGTTCAAAGGAACTATTCCGCAAAATGAACGATCGGTACTAGCTCGGGTTGTTTCGTTCATGTAGTTCCTTTTGCATCAATCTTTGAAGTTTGATCTCGTTCACCTAGTTCCTTTTAATTCAATCTTAGATCTTGATCGAATTAACTGATGTGTACTAATAAACGAATGAACTAAAGGGAACTATGGAACTAAACTATCCAACCGCTTTAGAAATGAGTTTGGCCAAGTTTAACGTTTAACTTCATGGAATGCTTGGAAAAACTTGGACTCGGCCAAATTTGTGTAGCAGATAATGCAAGAAGACATTGACGAACTCATAAACTTTCCGAGTTTAAAAGGGAATATCGAGAAAAATGATATTATTACAGGTTCTGAAACAGAGTATATTGCAATTTGCCAATCATATTTTGTTTGCACTGTAGAGTACCGAATTTCCCCTCTTCAGATTCAGATTTGTATTTAATATTTTATTTACAACAAAATCAACGAACTGTAAGTTGAAGTATAATTTATCATAAACAGCAATTAACGTAATTGTTGGCAATAACAACAAGAACAACAGCAGCAGCAGAACATCGGCGACAACGACGAAGTCGAGAACTGAGTAAAGTATAAAACTTTTATTGGCATTTTGACAAACTTCTCGCTTCGCATGAAAATGAAAATAAATGAAAGATGAAAATACCACAACATCACTCATTCATTCATTTGAAATCAACTGCCAGGGTATGAGTGAAAGAGTGTCTCTCTGTGTATGTATGTGTGAACGTAAACAAACTACAAGTTGAGGATTTTTTCTTGTTTAAGTTTTTTCCTTTTTTTGTTCATGTTGTTGATTTTTTCTCATATTCTTCTTCATTTTTTCTTCTCCATTTTTACAGGAAGCTATTCAACAATCTTTAGTGACTGTCCATGACATTGCCACCGAAAACTTGGGCACACTCTGTATCTCGACCCTCTATCGTCCGCTGCAAGTGCCCATTAATTCAGAACGTTATGAAAGTTCGAGACAAAAGGCTGATTTAGTGGCATCCATACTGCAAGAGGTTGGCATAATCCGGCATGGAGGTAAGTGCGAGTGGGGCATAGGGATTTTATGTGGGAAGATGTGGTGTAAAAATGTCGTGACAAAAATACTAAATATTAAATTGAGATAAACGTTATATGAACGGAAATTTAATGGAATGCACTACCTTATATAATGAAAATTGATAAAGTCTCTAAGTAATAACAAATGTTACTGAGGAAATACATTCGATAAATCCCTGAAAGTCAATATCGGTGACAGAAGTTTAAATTTTAGGTGGATGTTCTAATTGTAATAAAAGAAAGTCATTCAAGTCCATCGTGTATATATGTAGTGACTGACAGATCATCGCCCAAACGAAACGGTTGAAGCTTAGAATTTTTGGGGAGGGTTGTTGTTGGTGTGTAGGCGTGAGATAAGGCTGGGTTTGGCAAATTCGAACTAAAAGGGTACTAAAAATGGTACGCTTTGTACCATTTGGCAAACGGGAAGAGCTTTGGAAAAGTTAGAAAAATTTACAAAAGAGTTTTGGAAATCCGACCTCTAAGTGTACGAAAAGTACTAAATTTAGTTCAAATTATATTTATATTGAACATATATAGCTAGAATCTTGAAATTTTTTTATGGAACACAGGTTTGGAAGTGGTGTTGGTGTATGAAAATGATTTTTAGAAATTCGTACTTATGTGTACGAAAAGTACTAAATTTGGTACTATTTGCATTAGTTGAGCTTATTCTGAAAAAAGGAATTAGGAAAATAGGAATTTAGATAAACATATACAGCTGGAGTCTTAAAATTGGAAATTAAAAAGACTGCTGAGAATTGAGCAATAGAGGCAGCTTTAGAAATTAATATTTATGTGTACGTTAAGTACTAAACGGAACTAATTTTTGTACAATTTAGATTTGAGAAAACGGAGAGAGCTGGGAACCTAAAATTTAGAATTATGGTGGCTGTTGGTGTGTAGAATTGAGATATTCAAGTATAGTACTTATGTGTACTAAATGGTACCATATTTTCTACATCTTGATTATGTTTAAATGAATGGAGGTGGGCTTCAGAATTTTTGCCATCAAGGCGTGGATTTTTTAAAGAATATTTTTCACCCGCCATCAAGACTATAGGCGTGGATTTTTTAAAGAATATTTTTCACCCGCCATCAAGGCTATAGGCGTGGATTTTTTAAAGAATATTTTTCACCCGCCATCAAGGCTATAGGCGTGGATTTTTTAAAGAATATTTTTCACCCGCCATCAAGGCTATAGGCGTGGATTTTTAAAGAATATTTTTCACCCGCCATCAAGGCTATAGGCGTGGATTTTTTAAAGAATATTATTCACCCGCCATCAAGGCTATAGGCGTGGATTTTTTTAGAATATTTTTCACCCACCATCAAGGCTGTAGGCGTGGATTTTTTAAGAATATTTTTCACCCACCATCAAGGCTATAGGCGTGGATTTTTTAAGAATATTTTCACTCCCACCATCAAGGCTATAGACGTGGATTTTTTAAAGAATATTTTTCACCCACCATCAAGGCTGTAGGCGTGGATTTTTTAAGAATATTTTTCACCCACCATCAAGGCTATAGGCGTGGATTTTTTAAGAATATTTTTACTCCCACCATCAAGGCTATAGACGTGGATTTTTTAAAGAATATTTTTCTCCCACAATCAAGGCAATAGGCGTGGATTTTTTAAAGAATATTTTCTACCACCATCAAGGCTATAGGCGTGGATTTTTTAAATAATATTTTTATCCCACAATCAAGGCTATAGGCATGGATTTTTTAAAGAATATTTTTATCCCACAATCAAGGCTATAGGCGTGGATTTTTTAAAGAATATTTTTATCCCGCAATCAAGGCCACCATCAAGGCTATAGGCGTGAATTTTTTAAAGAATATTTTTCTACCACCATCAAGGCTATAGGCGTGGATTTTTTGAAGAGTATTTTTCTGCCAAAATCAAGGCTATAGGCGTGGGTTTTTTTTTGAGAATATTTTTCTACCACCATCAAGGCTACTGGCGTGGATTTTTAAAGAATATTTTGCTACCACCATCAAGGCTATAGGCGTGGATTTTTAAAGAATATTTTATAGCCTTGACCACCATCAAGGCTATAGCCTATAGCCTTGATGGTGGTAGAAAAATATTCTTTAAAAAATCCACGCCTATAGCCTTGATGTTGGTATTTTTCTACCAACATCAAGGCTATAGGCGTGGATTTTTTTAAGAATATTTTTCACCCACCATCAAGGCTATAGGCGTGGATTTTTTTAAGAATATTTTTCACCCACCATCAAGGCTATAGGCGTGGATTTTTTTAAAGAATATTTTTCTACCACCATCAAGGCTATAGGCGTGGATTTTTTTAAGAATATTTTTCACCCACCATCAAGGCTATAGGCGTGGATTTTTTAAAGAATATTTTTTAAGCCCACCATCAAGGCTATAGGCGTGGATTTTTTTAAGAATATTTTTCACCCACCATCAAGGCTATAGGCGTGGATTTTTTAAGAATATTTTTCACCCACCATCAAGGCTATAGGCGTGGAGTTTTTAAAGAAAAATTTTCTCCCACCATCAAGGCTATCGACGTGGATTTTTTAAAGAAAAATTTTCTCCCACCATCAAGGCTATAGGCGTGGAGTTTTTAAAGAAAAATTTTCTCCCACCATCAAGGCTATCGACGTGGATTTTTTAAAGAAAAATTTTCTCCCACCCTCAAGGCTATAGGCGTGGATTTTTTAAAGAATATTTTTTACTCCCACCATCAAGGCTATAGGCGTGGAGTTTTTAAAGAATATTTTTCACCCACCATCAAGGCTATAGGCGTGGATTTTTTAAATAATTTTTCACCCACCATCAAGGCTATAGGCGTGGAGTTTTTAAAGAATATTTTTCACCCACCATCAAGGCTATAGGCGTGGAGTTTTTAAAGAATATTTTTCACCCACCATCAAGGCTATAGGCGTGGAGTTTTTAAAGAATATTTTTCACCCACCATCAAGGCTATAGGCGTGGATTTTTTTAGAGAATATTTTTTACTCCCACCATCAAGGCTATAGGCGTGGAGTTTTTAAAGAATATTTTTCACCCACCATTTTTCACCCACCATCATGGCTATAGGCGTGGAGTTTTTAAAGAATATTTTTCACCCACCATCATGGCTATAGGCGTGGAGTTTTTAAAGAATATTTTTCACCCACCATCATGGCTATAGGCGTGGAGTTTTTAAAGAATATTTTTCACCCACCATCATGGCTATAGGCGTGGAGTTTTTAAAGAATATTTTTCAAGGATCCACACAAGGCGTAGGTTTTTAAAGAATATTTTTCATGAACCAGCATACCAATAGGCGTAGGTTTTTAAAGAATATTTTTCACCCACCATCATGGCTATAGGCGTGTTTTTAAAGATATTTTTCACCCACCATCATGGCTATAGGCGTGGAATATTTTTCACCCACCATCATGGCTATAGGCGTGGAGTTTTTAAAGAATATTTTTCACCCACCATCAAGGCTATAGGCGTGGAGTTTTTAAAGAATATTTTTCACCCACCATCATGGCTATAGGCGTGGAGTTTTTAAAGAATATTTTTCACCCACCATCATGGCTATAGGCGTGGAGTTTTTAAAGAATATTTTTCACCCACCATCATGGCTATAGGCGTGGAGTTTTTAAAGAATATTTTTCACCCACCATCATGGCTATAGGCGTGGAGTTTTTAAAGAATATTTTTCACCCACCATCATGGCTATAGGCGTGGAGTTTTTAAAGAATATTTTTCACCCACCATCATGGCTATAGGCGTGGAGTTTTTAAAGAATATTTTTCACCCACCATCATGGCTATAGGCGTGGAGTTTTTAAAGAATATTTTTCACCCACCATCATGGCTATAGGCGTGGAGTTTTTAAAGAATGGAGTTTTTAAAGAATATTTTTCATCATGGCCCACCATCATGGCTATAGGCGTGGAGTTTTTAAAGAATATTTTATGAGGAGACTATATCAGCTATAGGCGTGGAGTTTTTAAAGAATATTTTTCACCCACCATCATGGCTATAGGCGTGGAGTTTTTAAAGAATATTTTTCACCCACCATCATGGCTATAGGCGTGGAGTTTTTAAAGAATATTTTTCACCCACCATCAAGGCTATAGGCGTGGAGTTTTTAAAGAATATTTTTCACCCACCATCAAGGCTATAGGCGTGGAGTTTTTAAAGAATATAGGCGTGGATTTTTTAAAGAATATAGGCGTGGATTTTTTAAGAATATATTTCACCCAACATCAAGGCTATAAAGTGATACGATTTCTTCCCCTTAACCTATTGTTCAATTATTTATTTATATTTGTTTAACATTGTGTAGCCAATAAATCTAATATTGACATTAAAACAAATTCAACACCACATGTTCAGTACACGTGTACAAACTAAGCAATATGCTTGGCTCCGATCCACGTGTTTGTTTTGCGAACAATGGTCACCCAGTGGTCTCAGAATCCTTTAAATCTTCGTGTGCGTCACTACTAAAATATTTTATTCCAATGTGAATAGAAAAAGTTCTAATAATTCATATTCAGACCCATGTTATGCATGTGGCAGCCGTTTCCTGTTGTTATGAAACACAATAACAAACGACGACAAACATATGTCCGTGTGCCAAATTCAATACATTTTGATATATATTTTTTATTATTAACAATTTCAATAGGGGGCAGGATTCCAAGAAAATTTTGTTGTTTTGTAACAATAAAGAATGAATGGGAGAAAGAATGTTTGAAGGAAAAGGATTTAGTATAGTAACCAAATATGCAGCGTAATCCAAAAGCCAATTTTAAAATAAATCCTATGTTCACTTATACCTATGCGGGAGTAGGTTATTCTCGGTTAAGAAACTATTAAAAATTTGATAAGAACCATTTGATTTCTTAAATGTATTTATTTTTTATTCTATGTTTCAGGTCTATCGGATGCCCTGGCCAAAGGTTTGCTAAGTGATCAACACACAACTGGTGCTAGAATTTTGGCCCTCAATATTACAAATGGTTCCGTGCAGTCGTATGTGTGGTGGATCAAAAAGAATCATGACAAAAATGGTGAACTGCAGCGGTTCGAAGAAGAAGGTCTACAAGTTGCCAAGAAGCCCTCATCTATGTATCCATGGTAAGTAGTACAGATAGTCCTTATATATTTCAAAAATTCAAATCCACGTTACGTTCTTCCTTCGAAAAAGTATTCAGTAAAAAGTCGTCCTTTAGGGTATTGAAAAAAATTCT